ACAATGCTAAACATATTTGAATGAAATTTGGTGGACAAATAGATTAGACGTCCTAGATTGATCATCGTTATAGAATATTTTTATCCTCAATCACCCGGGTAAAGCTGAAAATTACAGCTAGCTAGTTAGTATTAATAGAAAATATACACAGACGGAACATAAGGGTTCCGTTGTAAGGTACAGGGCCTAACTGCGGTTACCAACCCGCCTGCCAAACGTGGCAACTACTGGTAAAACTTCCCAATATAGGGAGGCCTATGTTCAGCAATAAATAATTAACGACTGATATTGTGTGGTATACCCCGTGTGGTCCCGGCATAGAATAGTCCGCCCCTTCCTCTCCCGTAGGTGTCGTAAGAGGCGACTAAGGGAGGGCGAGAGATGGGCAGCAGCGTCCCTTTTAAAACACCTTCAAAACCTAACTACGACTACCGGCAAAACCCCCTAGAGGGAGACTCATGTTCAGCAGTGGACAGTTGATATGATGATGATGAAATGATGATGATGATATGATGATGATGATGTTTGTGTGGTATACCTACAATATGCTTGAATGGTAAAGATTAACCCCTTATTCATAAAAGCGTCAAAGCTCACACAAACCTATTTTAGTTATTTAAGTATTGTGCCCTTTTTTTTTAGTTAAATTCTCAATTTGAAAAAAAAAACACTGCAATAGCTTAAATAAGTTTGTAGTTTTCATGAATAAAGACATTAGTTTTTAAATACTAGATTTAAATATTTTCCATCTCACATGTAGGTATATGTGTCGCCGTGTATGTCCCGGCATAGAATGGGCTACCCCCTTCCTTTCCCGTGGGTGTCGTTAGAGGCGACTAAGGAGGGCGAGAGATAAACAGCAGCGTCCCTCTTAAAACTTCTCTAGAAGCCTAACTGCAATTGCCAACCCACCTGCCAAGCGTGGCAACTACTGGCTACTACAAAAGAGGGAGGCTTAAGTTCAGCAGTGTACAGTTAAATGTGTCTATGTAACGTCTTATCGTTCGTCGAAATGTTTTATATTGTAAAAATAAGTAATATGAAATATGAATGAATAGTAAGTCAACTTTAATGTTGACACATTTTTTGTGGTGTTTTTCTATATTGCAAATTTCTATATTGTAGGTAATTAATTATATTATTATCTACAATGACTAGAATAATTTCCAACAGAAATATCCCCCATTTATTCCTCGAAACAGACTTGTTTTGGTAATACCAAAAAGTGCGGATGTCACGGCTTGGTACCGTATTAACGAATAGCAGATTGTATGTGGACAGTACAGTGACGAGATCGCGACGGGATGGCATTATGCAACACGTTCTGTGCGTTTTTTTTAATGAATACGTTTGTTTCGTAAAAAAACTTCGTAAACACACATGCACATGCATGCACGTTTACTCACACACACAGGTAACTGATAAAATGTTTAGTACATTCTATTAATAAACCACGCGGGATTCCACATTCTAAACTCAAATATTTACAATGTAAATTGTGTTGTGAATATTTGAATTTAGAACGCGGATTTACGTGTAAATGTTTAAAAAACAACTGTAGTATAAGGGGTTGCCAGTACATTACACATTACATGCCACATTTGGCAGGCGGGTTGGCAACCGGAATTGGCTGTAGTGACATTTAAACTCCAATCTATAATCCTAAGTAATTTAGGGGGAGGGGGGTGTAAAGAGATACACGTTTGGACCACATTATCTGGTTACTGTCAGATGGGGTGTGATCACTTTGACTAGCTTCAATAAAAAAAATTACCAACATAAATAAAACCTTTTAATTGCAAAAAAAAAATTAAGAAAATCGAAATGCCTTATTCTGTATACCACTGAAGTGGCAAACAAGTATACGGCCTACTTAATGGTAAGCAGTTACCTTGCCTACAAACGCCTGCAATACCAAGGCCATTACGCGCGCGTTGCCGACCCTGAAGAAACCTCTTTACCCCTTTTTGAAGAACTCCACTCTGTAGTCTCTTGAAAAAACCTCGAAAGGGTGCTTATTCCTATAATCTATAAACTGATCGTTCATGGTTCAACAGTACAATTTGAAAAACAAACTGAACAATAAAAATAATGTTTGCCATAAAAAAAAAATCAATCACGAGTGGGCTATTACATTTATGTTTTTATTATATATTTGTATTACTACTGTACTATTATATCATAAAGCAACGATATAAACGCAATTAGTAATTAAACCAGAGGGAGACTTTGTACAAAAGTCGTTTGCTTGGGTACCTCTGTCCCATTCGTGTTTCAACCGTGAAGCAGTTGTGTTTGCATGGCTGTGTTTCGGTTTGAAGGGTGGGATATGGCGTGAATTTACAGGGTACAGAGGAATAACACCGGAAGTCCTCAGGAATGGCAACGCATGGGGGGTATTATGGGCGAAACAGTATACTCTGTTATGTCCATGGTACTGCTCATGTCTATAGGCGACGGTTACCACTTTCCATCAGGTGGGCCGTCAGCTTGTTTGCCATTCTAAGTTGTATAAAAAAAAAAAGATATTACGAATATTAACCGACTTCAAAAAGTAGGAGGTTCTCAATTCGGTTGTATTTTTTTTTTATATTTGTTACCTCCTAAATCCGTCCTGATGGAAAGCGGTAACCGTCGCCTATAGACATAAACAGTACCATGGACATAACAGAGTATACTGTTTCGCACATGATGCGTTGCCATTCCTGAGGACTCAGGTGTTATTCCTCTGTACCCTGTAAGTTCACTGCCTTAACCCTCCCTTCAAACCGAAACACAACCATGCAAACACAACTGCTTCAAGGTAAAAACACGAATGGAACAGAGATGCCCAAGCAAACAACTTTTGTACAGTCTCCCTCTGGTAAAACTAATTTTACAAATAATAATGATAAAATACTATATTTTTAAATGACACCGAAAACGAGTTTCTTAATTCATCTGTAGTTTAGTCGTAACAAAATTAAAATAGGACCAATATAGGAGAGTAAACCAGCAGCAGTATTTCCGAACCGATACGACATTGCATCCTTCGAGAAAAGAGCATATTCCTTTTTAAAGGACCAGCAGTACACCTGCAGTTCCTCCGGTATTGCGAGTGCTCATCCGCAGCGGTATATACCATCAGATGAGCCGCATAGTCGTCTGTCCTCTGAATTAAAAAAAAACCTGGCGATTGCATAAGTTATTGTGAAAATCGGTTTAGAATTAAAATATAACAATCCGCTTGTACAACGGATTGTGCTCAGAGGAATTATTCCATATGATGCCTGCGGCCACTTTCTATCATCGTACGGCTCGCCATCGACAGGGAGTTCACCCTCATACCTTACAGCCTAAATGGTCGCGTACAACGCGGTTTCAGAGATGTTTTCTCCCACGAACACTCAGGTTATAGAATGAGCTCCCTGCCGAGGTTTTCCCAAGAGACTACAGCATGGGGTTCTTCAAAAGGGGGGTAAAGAGGTTTCTTCAGGGTCGGCAACGCGCGCGTAATACCTCTGGTATTGCAGGCGTTCATAGGCTACGGTAACCGCTTACCATCAGGTGGGCCGTATGCTTGTTTGCCACGTCAGTGGTATAAAAAAAAAATTAAAATATAATTAAGTCGACCTAAAACCAGTATGGGCCCTGTTTCGCAAAGCTTATTAGACTGCAAGTATTTAATTAATAAACCATTAATTACGAGTTCTAATAATTGATTGAATATTTCCACTTATCGCTTATTTCATTAAGACAATATAATATAATTTATTTATTCTTTATTGCACAATAAAACTTTGTACAAGTGGCGAGCTTAAAACCATATGGCATTCTCTACCAGCTAACCATTAGGTAAAAACAGAAAGCGTATGAAGTGCAGATGTGGTGAAAAATATGTAACATAATTATAGTAACACATTGAAATAATTGTACATACATATAATACATAAGAAATACGTATACAGTACATACACATCGGTTTGAAGGGTGGGATATGGCAGTGAATTTACAGGGTACAGAGGAATAACACTTTAGAACTCAGGAGTGGCAACGCATGGGGGGTATCATGGGCGAAACAGTGTACTCTGTTATGTCCATGGTACTGCTCATGTCTATAGGCGACGGTTGCCACTTTCCATCAGATAGACCGTCAGCTTGTTTGCCATTCTAAGTTGCATAAAAAAAATAGTATAGTAACAAAAAATGCAGATGAATAGAGATCCTGTTCTTGGGAGTCTCTAAAAATAGTTGTAATGGACATTTTATGTATCTTTATAAACAATACGGAAAAGTTTTATATCCGTCCTCTGCATTAACCTTGACTTTCTAATGTATATTTGACATTGTCTCATTGCAGACGGTTCACAGATCACAGCGAGTCGCCGATTTTAATCTTTAACGGAACATTCGTATTCTTTTTTTAAATTTCAACAAAAAAAAAATTAAAAAAGAAGGAGGTTCTCATTTCGGTTGATTTTTTTTTTAAAAGTTTATTACCTTGTCCATTGATATCTTCGTCAGTTTTAAACCGATTTGGAAAATTATTTATTATCTGAAAGGATATACTTACAGATTAGGACCATAGAAATTTTATCAAAAACAGTTTGAACAATTGAAGTCGATTTTTCTGGGACACGATCTTTATTTTATTATGATAGCAAAGTGGTAACCCTACCTGCGTTATTAAAATACTCTGTCAGGACACCAGCAGTAAAAAATAATAAATGACGATCGTGATGAATTCATTAGGAATTCATAATGTTGATTTCCAGAGGGACGAGGAAGTCGACCCAATGTATATTACTAGCAATATAGCTATTAATCTTTATTACTAACAATTCCTGTCTCCCCAAGTAAAGTTTATAAAAATTAATTTATAAAAATAATAACCCAATCAGCTGTTGAACACGCGGCGGAAGCGGTCACTGTGGCATAAAGCGGTCCAATTATCACTGATACAACAACAGAGTGACCATCACATGTTATCTGCCTCGAGAGGCGAGGCTCATCATCAATAAAATAATCGGCCGTAGCCAGTGCATCGGAGACCGTCGCGCGTGAACGTACCCACTTGCGGTGCGCCGTAATATATTTAATTTACCTCATTTCGGCATTACAACTTTAGTTGCCAGTGCATCTGTGATTAGAAAAAAAAAACAATCAAACATGGCCGACGGTGTCGTACCATTGGTTACGAGTTATGGCGGGAGCGAAATCGAATATGGAACGAAAAGAACCAACTCAAGGTAAATAGTTATTTCAATACAGCGAAATCATTCTATTTATAGTGTTGTTTTGGTACTACGCACTTAGTTCGGATCCAAGTATTATTGTCACATCCACACTTTTTTTTTATTTTATAATGTACATCACAAAAGAAAAATAAAATTAATACGTCTGCAATGAATGCGTTTTGCAATGACCTTACTGCACGATGTTGAAAAAGGACGGAGGTATGTAGGTAGGTGAAATGTAGACTGTTTGAAGATTGTATTTATATTGAATTTATTTTAAATAAAGATGATATTAAAAAATACTTAATATTTTTTTGCGAAATGGTATAAAGGTTAAACTTGAAATCGTTAGTGTCCTTTGAATGGGAATCCTTTGAATCTACCAGCGAATATTTTTAACTGACTTGTAAAAGGAAAAGGTACTCAATTCGATTGTATTTTTTTACGTTTATTACCTTATAACTCATTTTCTATCACTGACAGGAATTAGTAGTGAACTTAAAAAAAAGGGCGAGAACAAAAGACTATGGAAAGATCGCAGTGTCACAGGTTTCTATGCCTGAAAAGTTTTTAAATTTATGTTTTGCCAAAGGTTGACTGGCAGTGAATGCTGTATAGTATTAAGTCCGCCTTTTGTACCAAATTTTTTTTTGTAATGTGGTCAATAAAGAATAAAAAAATAAAAGGCCCGTTATCTCAATAATTATAATAATATCTCATAACTCAGTCAATTGCAAACCGATTTCTTTTCTAAACTTGTAAAAAAGGTAAAAAATAAAATTTTGTTGCATTTTACCTACATTTAGCCTTCCAGTCATTATGACCTACAAAATGGCCGTCATCAAATTGCGGTATTCTTTTATTTGTAAATGAATGCAATTAATTATGTTTAAAATTACTCAACGCAGCAGGAAATAATAAGTATCATGTAACGATTACATTAGCGATGCACAAATGACCGCATTATATTGTTCTGCAAGTAAAATTTATAATTCTAGAATGTTAATAACTATTACAAAAAAAAAAAAAAAACACGTTACTAATATAGCCGTTAACAATAACCTGTTGTTTTAAATAATGAAAAAATAACGATTTGTAGTTATTTTTCACATAAACGTTAATTTATTTAATGGATCTTTTTATTTGTACTAGTGGTGGTCGAAATTCAACCATAACATATATTGTAATAAATAAATTTATTATAGTTATGTTTGACATTCAGTAAGACTATAGACAAATAATATCAACAGACAAACAATATTAATCTATTCTCAATTTGACCACAGACTTTAATAATAAACAAAAGAGTATATATGCGTGTGTGTGTCAAATACATGGTAGTGTGTGTAATGTTTTTTTTTTTTTTACCGATTTAATGTAATTTTATGCATAATTAAAACAGCATTCTGAACTATATAAACTATAAGTGTGCCAAATTTCATACTCCTACATCCGCGCAATTTTCGTAAAAAGGAATCTAAGTTTTTGTTTATATTGGACATCAGCGGACTGTCGTATGGGCGAGTCGATTAATCCTGTTTTTTTTTTTCCTGCACTTTAAATATTAACAAATAATATAACATTTTATTCCACAAAAATAAACGCCCACTTCAGATTTTTGTCACGAAAAATCGCCGATTAAGGACGAAATATTTTATGACAAAATAAATAAAAAATATTTAAATTTAGAACACTGACTAAATAGTGAGTCTAAATAAATATTTAAATTTAGAATACTAACTAAATAGTGAGTCTAAATAAATATTTAAATTTAGAACACTAACTAAATAGTGAGTCTAAAAAAATATTTAAATTTAGAACACTGACTAAATAGTAAGTCTAAATAAATATTTAAATTTAGAACACTAACTAAATAGTGAGTCTAAATAAATATTTAAATTTAGAACACTAACTAAATAGTGAGTCTAAAAAAATATTTAAATTTAGAACACTGACTAAATAGTAAGTCTAAATAAATATTTAAATTTAGAACACTAACTAAATAGTGAGTCTAAATAAATATTTAAATTTAGAACACAGACTAAATAATGAGTCTAAATTAATATTTAAATTTAGAACAATAGCTGAGTATGTCTAGAAAGTATTTTAATTTAGAACACTGGCTGAATAGTGTGTCCACAAATGAATTTTGTTTAACAACAAGCAATTTCTATCTTCACATACAATATGAGACCAGCATTGGAGTGAATTCTGTTACAGTTCGTTAAAATAGTTATCAAAGATCGCGTATTTGATAATTCGGATATAACATAAAAAAAGCAAAAGAACTATAGAATGAACTTCCTTTGAGAAGTCGTTTAAAAATTGGCCCTTGACCTTATTAAAAAAAACAATATACATTGATATACGCATTATCACAACTCCACTGTAGTCTGTACGCGTACAAACCGAAGTAACATATCTGTATTCCAACTAAATAATCTGGGAAACACGTTGGCGCGGGCGTTTTATATGAATGACCTTTGACACGCTCCACGTCTGGTCGGATTCAATATAACTAAGTACTTATTCTGTTTAATACACAATAAACGTAGACATACATTATTTTATTTAAATAATCTTACGGAAACTCTTCGAAGATGGCGCCACCGTTTATTTATTTATTATATTTATCAACTAAAAAGGTCACCAGTGAATGGTGATAGATGAGAATAAAAAGACAGGTTAGTTAGCCCATGGTGATGTATTCATTTAAAATTGAACACGATGGTTTCCAGGGGGAACCGCGAGGAGATCGACCTGAGAGGGCGTATTGCTAGCAATAGGGCTACTAGTCCCCATTACTAACAATCCCTTCTTCCCCCTATAGGCTACGGTTACCACTTTCCATCAGGAGGACCGTCAGCTTGATTGCCATTCTAAGTTGCATAAAAAAAGAACCTAGTTCGACTGAGTGTCCAAACTAGGAAAAAACATATCTTGATCACGTAAACGAAGTCGCTGTTAAAATTGCTTTTAAAAAAGAAGTTGGCAACCCTACGTTCAGATGCTTACAAATTATACGCACGCTAATTGTTTTTAAATATTTTTGCATAACATTAACTTACTTTTGGGCACAAGGCCGAAAAAAATAATGTACTTAAAGAGAAACCGCCGAGTTTTTTTTTAAAAGGATCAAAATGGACCAGTACTCCCGCGTGTTGGCCTTTTTTTAATGGATGATAATGGAATGGTAATGGCGGCCGCGCTAACGGTATTCACTAGCGGGCCACCAGTGAGGGATAATACGTAAGGATGAAAAGGCAGGTCAGTTAGCTCATCGCGATGAGTATATGTGGAATTCAACGCGATGGTTTCAAAAGGGGACCACGGATGTCGACTTGATAAGGTATATTGCTAGTAATAGGTCTGGTAGTTTTTTTTTTTTATACAACTTAGAATGGCAAACAAGCTGACGGCCCACCTGATAGAAAGTGGTAACCATCGCCTATAGACATGAGCAGTACCATGGACATAACAGAGTATACTGTTTCGCCCATGATACCCACCATGCGTTGCCATTCCTGAGGACTCGGGTGTTATTCCTCTGTACCCAGTAAATTCACGCCATATCCCACCCTTCAAACCGAAACACAATATAGTACCTCAATGGTACTAATTAAAATATGTTAATGTTAAGGAATTAGAGACCAAAATCCGTTTTATAATCGCGGATCTAGACACTAATGATCCGTATTCATATCCGCGTCTGCGTATATACATTTGTAATGATCCAGCAAATACATTATATTAGTGGTCGGTCAGTGGTCGAAATTCGACCATAACATATATTGTAATAAATGTATTTATTACGGTTACGTCTGACATTCAGTGAGACTATAGACAAATAATATTAACAGACAAACAATATTAATCTATTCTCAATTCGACCGCAGACTTTAACAATAAATAAAAGAGTATATATGCGTGTGTGTGTCAAATACATGGTAGTTGGGGGGAAAGGGATTGTTAGTAATGAAGACTAAAAATCCCATTGCTAGCAATATACCTAACCAAGTCGACTTTCACGCGGTTCCCCCTAGAAACTATCATGGTTAATTCCTGATGAATTCATCATGATGGGCTAATTGGCCTGTTTTCATTCTCACCTATCATCCCTCACTGGTGCCCCGCTAGTGTATGCCATTAGCGCAGGCGGGGTTACTATTCCATCATCACCCATTAAAAACAATATTTGATTGAAGATTTTACTCTTTTATTTGTACAAGATAACAATGAATACGTGCAATACGTAATGTTAAATGTCTGTTAATTAGTAAGTAATATACAAATAACAAGATTTATATACATATATATATATATATATATATATATATATATATATATATATATATATATATATATATATATATATATATATATATATATATATATATATATATATATATATATATATATACACAACACTTAATTTGACAATTAGCTGACACAAAGTTGACCCGATTTTGAGACTTGATGCTCCATCTACTTAATCTAAGGCTGTATGCTTGTTCGCCACGTTTGTGATATAAAAAAAAAAACGCTCATTTTTTATCTTTATCCGAGCAGTAAGTGCTTTATATTATTCTCAATTTCGTGTATAATACAGTATATATCATACATTTGTAAGTATATTTGTTATTCATATATATTTATTCGTTTATATATGTAATTTTAGTATGTACGTATATCAATAATTACTAGTACCGCATTCGAGTATTCTGACACTTGCCTACGGTTGACTGGGAGAGAATGCTTTTAGCATTATGTCCGCCATGCACACATATTTGTACTAATGAATAAATAAATAAATAAATACTCAATTACAATGTTCAATATCTTGTATGTAATCGGTCAAAAATAAATTGAAAATGTAACTGAACTGTAAATATTACATGTACTTAGGTAGATAATTGTTACTTATTTGTGTAAAACTATTGACATTTCAAGATAATTGAAACCTTTCGCCCCTCAAGAAACAGCGATTTCATTAGTGACGCCTATCGTCGCTC